ATAAAGATTTTTCCTTTCCTTTACATTTACAAAGCTTAGTTTTCTGATAGAAAGACAGATGGTAAAATACTAAAATACCTTTTAAAAATGTTAGAATGCAACAGGTAGTCATAGATACATCACCTATACCCATGTGAGTACCTGTTAACTAACTTTGTTAAGAGAGGGGATTTCCCTCATGGCAGGATGTGCAACCACTGATCTAAGTGTTTCATAACGACCTTGCCAGAGAGAACAAAACACACATTCCTTGCAAACCTCTGCTAACCATTCCCTGAAACACCCAGGTCAAAAAGAAGGTCTTGCAGCCCTGAAGGTGAGCTCCTCCTGGCTCTGTTGGATGAGACACTCCTTCCCCCCACAACTACGCTGTTTCAGCCACAAGCAACCTGCCCTAGAACAACCTGTTGCACTCTCTCTTGTTTGAGCACTCAAATTAACCATTAAATGCGGTCTTAAATAAATATAGATTAATGGAAAGGGCTTCTTTGACAACAGAGTCTTTTGGTCTCTCTCTCTCTCTCTGAAGGAGGGATGCTATACAAATAGGTTTACCTCTGAGTATCTGCTACAAAGTCTTTCCCTTCAAATGTCAAACCAAATCCAGTGCTACATTAAACCGTTTGGAAGTCTGAAGACTTCTCAGGAACTGTGTCTTGTGATTAATCTGTATATCACTGGTATATTATTGGTACTGTTCCCCAAGACATCGTATTTCACATATTGCCTATCTGCATCCTCAGGTCTGCAACAGAGGAAACGTACAGCTGACAACATAACATGCACTTCCTTTATGCCCCATGGCTGCCTAGCTCTGTGGAGCTCTGCTCCTCCCCAGTGCCAGCCTCTCAGGAAATATTTCCCTCAGCCCTAAAGCATGCAAGGGTCCTCCACAGGAATGGGTGCTGAGCTGAAAGGGGTGAATGCCGTGTTTGCACTGGGGAAACACAGTAAAACACTGACTGTAATAAAGGCCTCAAGTGGAAAGGCTGGTCCTATTTAATAATAATAAAATATAATAATAATGGCCAGTCTTCGCGAGCGAAGATTTGGGAAAGGTCATTAACCCTTCGAGCCTGCGCAGTGGATTTTTTAGGTGAGACACAGCGTGCGCTGAACTGAGCCCACCCTTTAATCCTGAGGTTCATCTGTCGGGGCCGAGCAAGCTTGGACAGTGGCAGTGAGGGTCCCAGGACGTAGGTTTGTTTAGAGTGACCTTCTCTTAGATGGATTGCCTCACAGGGCTGACGAGCTCCATCTGCCCGGGGGGCTGGGAATCGAACCCAGGTCGCAGCGGTGAGAGTCCTGCACCCTAACCACTAGACCACCAGGGGCCCCTGGTCCTATTTAAATTGGTGTGAAATATAGCAAACTGTCTCCCAAGCTTTAATTGTCAGCAATAGGCACAAAACGTGGCTAAGAAATTATTTTTCTTGAAAAACTTAAAGATTTGTAGTGGGATGCTGTCTTCATAAACATAGTTGTATTATTCTGGAGGGTTTTTTCCAAACATGCAATAGAAGAGTGAATGATAAACATGTTTGTATACTGTTCCTCATTTCCTTTTTGGCCCCCAGTCAGGAAATGTTGAAAATCAGTGTTAGTATTGCTGGAGATTAATGGCTGCTGCTCAGAAAGCATACAGAAAGGGAATATATTCCTGCCAGGACAAATACATAGGCCATTGGAAAAAAATCTGTGAACCACAGATAGGACTATACTATCATTGTAAAGATCCACTGCCTGTGTTGCTCTGTAATTAATAATATTCATATGTGGGTTTGACTGAAATCACAGTTGTGGTGGGGGCAACTAGGCAAATTAATGCCATACCTTCATGGTCTAACTTATTCTAAGGCATTTGAAGTTTTCTTTTCAAATCAGCTTTGCAGCATTTAAATGTTAGATTTTTCTTCCAGGTATAGACAGAATTCCTTCACGGATTTTTTTGCCCCTATATATTCAATATGGGTTTAAAGACTATGTAATCATTGCTTTTTTGTACGAGCAGTTGGATCTCAAAAGAGAAAATACACTCCACTGAGCTATAAGGCCTTTAAAATCAATCCCTGTCATCAGTTCATTTGTTTCCCACTCTCCTTCAGAGAGGTTGTACTTAAGAGCTCTCTGGCTCCATGTATATTGGGACACATCACTGCAGCTTCTGTATACTTTTTCTCCCCTTTTGTTTTCTTACAAAATAAGGAATAGGTTACAGTGACCTCTGACATTTATGAAAAGCTTTCCTTCTCTATATTCAGTAAATTCACAGGGTCTAGCCAGGGAACCTGAAGACAGGAAGAACTGAGTCCGACTTGGTCCTAGAAGCTAAAGCACAGGCAAGCTATCTGAGGCCATAATAATTTAAAAAAATAGTAAAGGTAAAAATGGTGACATAAAACATCACTGCCAGGGCATGTCCCCACAGTCTTCTGGCATGTCTTGCCTTCAAAATGAAGAGCTGGGGGGTCAAGTCCTAAAGTAAGGACTCAAAATTGATACCAACAGCAATGTGGCATGGATCTGTGTTTGCTTTGTTGTTATATGATGTGAATAGTGAACTAAGCTCATGATACACATGAGTACATTACCAGTTTACCCTGCTAACCCCATGGTTGTCATGGCCAGATTACCTCCCATGGCTGAGCTCACTGTTTGGGGGTTACTGTTTGATGGTACAGGCATAAGATGCCCCCTGCTCATGGCTGCTCAGTAAACAGTCATGGTATTTTATCCCATTTTTTAATTCAAAAAATAATGGATCTCCCTACAGATACAGCCTGATGGCATTCTCAAACTAAAGTCTTATTCCATATGCCTACATAATGTTTGTTTTGCCAGCATTGAAATGGCTTCAAAATAAACCCACAGTCTTATTTGTCAGTCTAACAAAACGCTAGCCAACCACCAGAGATGTCCAAACAGATATGAAAATCAAAAGCCATGAAATGACTCAGTGCCTTAAGTCACTGTGACAGCCAGGAGGTAATACCAGACTATCTACTTTGGCTGGAGTCTTCCTTGGCTCGTCTTCGTTTGCGGTGTTAAAACCAGGCTCTCATCTCAAGCCAAAGTGTTGTAGCTTGCCCACTTCAGAAATGGGCCAACACAGGTACCGGGAAAATAACTAAAATGGGGGGTGAAATGAAATTAAAAACACCTATGGCCACAAGGAGCAGAAGAACAGTTGCATTCTATGGCTACCAGTGTGGTTGTCCTCATAATCCTCCTGTCACGTCAGGAAGCTTTAGCAGTGCCTCGCATCTCTGTGGGGCCTGTATGTTCGAATATACATAAAAGTATTGTCCAGGACAATGGAAGTATCAACTTGTTGAGGATGTTCAGCCCATATTGCACAGCACAGATTGCAGCTATCCCCACCATCTACATAGGGATTATGAGAACATGGGCAGTTCTTTGAAGGTTCTGTAGCTACCTCTTAAGGTAAAACTTTATGGTGAAGAACAGGGAAATTACTCAAATAATAAAGATCACATTTATTGCCACAGTGGAAACTTTTTTTAAGCTCCCCTTTCCAGATACAAAGATGACTACAGGGTAAATCTTTCTGAACAACACAAACATGATACATTTCTCTTGAGGTTTGACTATTCACCACAGAAGCTACATGCTAGCTCCATCTTTAAAAAAGAAGTGATATATACAAGTTCTTGTATGAAGTAAGATGAAGGACTGTTCTGTGATGACAATTTCATTTTTTCCTTTGCAAAATTGCAATTTCAACAGGTTTTCTTCCCTTTTTTCTGCTTCAAATTTTCATTGTAAAATGACCATTATCTGTTTTTGACAAAATTATTTATTTTGAATGCATACTTTCTGTAACTTGAAAGTACTTTCTGACAAACTAGAGGTGAAATATGTACAGAAAAAGTGATACTTAATGACATTTAATGAGATGGAATCTGAGAGTTGTAGTAATGGTGCAACTCAGGTGACTCATGTATCAAAGAAATTAACAATACGCTTCTTGTAATCAGCTAAGATGGTAACAAGTCCAAAATTAAAGTCAAAATGTTATGAATGAGGGTTTCAGGAGAAAAGTAAGACCTTATATGAAATGCTAAATAATAATGGTTAACTAGAATAAAAATATTAAGACAAAATGTGTTCACACAGGTTGGGCAGCCTGTCCATAGGATCAGAGAGAAAGATCACTAAAGCGCAACCAAAAGAATGTATAGATTTGGTAAGCAGTCCTACCACAGAAGGGGTAAGTCTCAAAAAGTCAGAAGTCTTCATATGGACTATTTGAAATACCACATTTCAGCTCCTTATTTTGAAATTCCCTGAAGGCTGACACTACAATGACTTATTAGCATCAAAGAGAATCTCAAAACTGGACAGACATTGGGGGGACAAGTTGAGCACTGGCTGCCATCAATTCTGCCCACTTACTACTGGGCAGAATTAACATGCAAACCAGGACAACTGAGAAAGCTTTCAAGCAAGCACTACTCCAAGAAATAAACCTAATGGGTCTTTGAAAGGCAAAGAATGTGCAGAGTGCTGGACACCAGATGGGACAGGCAGAGGTTTGGCTGAGCCCTCAGCAACATCTGAATATGCAGAAGGTCCGGGGGACATCTTAAATTCATTTTCAGTATTTCTGACTTGCAGATTGTCTCTTGAATATTTTCATTAATGATGGTAATTACATTCACTATATTTGCTTGTCTTGCCCCTCCCTTTTTTCCCACCCTCTGCAACTGATTCCCCTGTGGTTGTTTTCTGCCTCACCTGCAGAACCCCATTTCCTTGTCAGTTCTGACAGGTGTTCATAATTTATTTTGCTTTGGTAGCTGCAGACAGAGATGGTAAATAAAGTAGTACTTAAAACTGTTAAACACTGACCACAGCTCTCTCCTTGTGATCCTTTGCCTTTAATTTGCGTGTCCCTGTCCATTGAGCCCTGTGCTCTTTGGACAACCTAAAAATAAACAGCTACATAGAAAACATGGTTTAAAAAATATTTCATTTACCTGCAATTCTCCTTCCATTATACTAAGTAGTTTTATCAAGTCCTCTTTAGAAAGCTCTATGGACTTCTTGTTCTTTCGTTCAGAAGGTCCGGGTGATTTTGAGTGCCGTTTGACAGTTGCTGAAGCCATGACCTCATCTTCCTTCCGATGAGGTTTGTTCTTTTTCTTGGCATCCTCCTGAAGTTTTTCATTCTCTGCATGGCTGATGACAGGCTTGGAACTGGAGAAGTGCCCGTTAGATGAGCTTTCTCCACCTTGGTTTCGGGATCTCATCCCTGCCTAGAAAGAAACAAACATAAAGATGCATTTATAAACAAAATTATTTACAAAAAAAGCCACAGTGGAAATACTGCCTTTGGAAAGAACAGCAATCTACTATAAACTGAAAATACTGTGATGCTCAAGAGACTGTGGTAGAAAGCTCAACCATTTTAACAAATCTGTGTGTGGCAGAAGCAAAGTTCTAAAGGAAGGGTAACCACCATTTTCAGCAAGCCAAGATGCTAATATGAATTTAAATCTATGGAACTTAAAAGTGATGCAGAAAAATGGTAAATAACATGTTCCAGTGTTTTCTTTCCTTCAGTTGACATTTTGATCATTTACAACTCAACACTGCAAAACAAAGCAGGTTGTTAAGTAGCTCTTATTTTAACATGGGGTTTACTTGAGAAACAGAAATGCAATTAAATTTTAGAAAAGCATATTCCTTGAGTAAAAATTCTCCACAAGAGTGGAATGACAATGCCTGACAAAGGTTACTCTGTAGTTTCTCTAAATGAAGCAATGATTTTATTCCAGGTAACGAAGAAAAATGGGGAATGCAGAGTAAATCAGTTGGCAAATAATGCACAAAATCATTAGTAAGTCCCACAAAGGAAGGTTGAAAAGAAGTTTGAAAAAAGAGCACAGAAAGCATGAAATCACTTAGAGGTAAATGGGCAAGATCAATGCAGTCTTTCCAGAAGATTTCTCTGAAATGTCAGGTTATGGTTATGGAATGCTCATATCTGTCCTCTTAAGCACCTACACTGCAGTCTTAGACTATGACAACAAATGTTCCTCAGCTCTATCACTTGACCTACTGTATTGCTAAATTTTTATTTCAATAGATCTAATGAATAATATTCCACTGTTTCCAAGTATTTCCTCTCACTTAAATTTATCTCTGGATTTAGTCTGCAGCTTGTTCATTAGTCAAACAGAAGCTTCTCAACATCAATAACATCTCACACTTTTCTGATAAGGATTTCAGAGCAGCAGGTCACTAGCGATGGGGCAAAACGTAAAATACATTGACTAATCAGCTTGGCTAAATTATACTGGGCCTGCTATGGCTTGCTACTTACTTGACTCAGATCAGTGTTATAAATCTCTTGCTCACATTAGCCTTGTGCTTCTGTAGTTTCACACAGCAGGAAGATTGTCTTTTTATTATCACTTGATACTCATGTCTTCATTAATTCAGTGGAATTTGTCTGGCATAAATGGAGAGAAAATTGGACCCAGTGTTTTCGAGCAAGAGAGTTTCACAGAAATTCCTTGCATTGTAGGTCTGCTCCTATCCAAACAATAAGTGATACAGGTATACAATGGCCTTTAGCTTCCTGAATGTTTATGCAGTGTGTTTTTCATCAAACAGTTTGGATTAAACACATGAATTACACTTTCTAAAAACAGATCTCCATTATAAGTATGAACAATACCTGAGAACCTCAGGAAATCTTTTAGGTTTTGGGTTTGTAATGGAAAAATAAACACTGTACTATGTTTCCTCTCAGATAGGGCTTCTCAATTTGTTTAACTTTAATGGGTTTTAAACTTTCCAACCATGCTTCCTCTTGGGAGAAAGCACTTGGGATTCAATCTGTCTCTATTTTCTAAGTGTTTCCTTCTGAGTCCCTGTGGATCACGGCCGCCAGCCACTTTCATCTCTAAACCAAACCTATTTTTTATGGCTTACAGTGAATGGTTTCATAGCTCTAGGACATCCTACGTGTTTTAAGAATAAATATTTAAAGACTGTCTTGTAGATGTTTTCCAGTGGAAAACAGCTTATTATATTACAGTATTCTGTTTAGTAACATGCCATGTTAGTGATTTCTCTATAGTAAGATGACTCAACTGTTAGACCTGAAGGCACACAATTAATTTTAAATTGAACACATGACTAGTTGAGACACATCATCCACCTGAAGCACTGCATAATCACCCAGATGCAATTAGCTGAATGTTAGACTTCACAAAAAGTGGTGCGTCACCCTGTCAAATCATAATTCAAGACAGCCATTTTGATCCATCTGCCCCTGTGGGAGCTGAAATAACAATTCATGAAATGTTGAAATTTAATGTAAATCAATACAGGCCCACAAAGGACAGATTCAAATTTATGGTTTTTTTCAAAATTCATTAAAACAGCAACAGATCAGCTTAACAAATTGACCTGGTATTTTGTATCATCTGGCTAATTAGAATATGATTGTCGTTAAAGGAGATAAAACTTGGCCTCTTTCGAAATTTCTTTTAAACTTGCAGATTTATTTTGCAGCAAGTCTTACAGGGCAGTGACAGTGGCAGACAATCTGTCACTCTTGGGGGAAATGCCCTTAAAAGCCTTTCTTTTTGTAAAAGCCTACCAAAATCAGTGTAACACTAATACTTACTCTGTCCTCCCTTATAAAGTTGACACTTTTCCAACATGTAGGTGACAGAAGCTTAAATAGCAACAGAAAGGGCCAAAGGTTTGATATTCACACAGTAATTTCCAAGGAGATTAAGGGCCAAAATCAACGGCATGATCCAGCTGTTGTGCAGTGCTCTAGGAATATAAAACAGCTGTAAGGATGACTGAGTTTTAATTAGAGTAGCATGAAGTAGCCAGAACGTACCAGTGATCTTGGCTGAAATACTGTGTGCTGGAAAGGAGTGCTTAGTATTGTCATTTTGGACATCCATCTGTATTTCTGATGGCATCATGATAAAGAAGAAAGGTTTCTGAGCAGTTGCATGACATTATTTTGATATGCAAATATCGAAATCCCAAAACTTTGCTGATCTGTTTTTTCACCCAGGTTCCAAAATTGATTCTGGGGACACTGCCAGTCCAACACTGGTAACAAATGACCTCCTGCTGTCAGCCCTGATCACAGCTCTATATCTTACAGCATTCCTGATCTGCTGAAGGGATTGTGTTCCCTGAAGAAATAGCTGGTATGATTTATAATGACTTCAGCATTTAACTCTACTTTTTTTCCCCCCCAACCCTTATCATATTGCCTATTAAACTGGAAACTGTTCCTAACAGTTTCCAGTCAAACAAGAAGACTTTATATGATCAGTCACTTTGATTTTGACATTTATTGGCTACTCATTTCAATATGTGCTCACAGTATCGGTACTTGGCATGGGAATTCTTCAGCCCCTCCTCTGTTTCAGTCATTTGTTAAGCTTTAAGCACAAAGGACAAATGCTATGATTATTTATTTGAGTCTGTACTGTTGTTCTGGGCATGGGTCCTTCAGTTTTCACAAGTTAGCAATCCACACAAGATTTTATGAAATAACCTTTATGTTAGTTTTACTGACATCAGGAGGAAATCTGTGAGGAATTTGCTGAGTAGGATGTCAGAAGAGGACAGGCTGCATGCTGTTCCATATGATAGCAATTTGATAGCAATTTGTTCTCCTTATAGCTGTTGAAATGACAGGTTAGATTAGGCTCTGTTACTAGTGCTATTAGAATCAGATAATGTAAAAGGGTTCTTTGAACTTAATATGCAGTCCCTCTTGCTAATTGGACATGCTGATTTTGGCTCCATAATGCTTTCCCTTAAAATAATAATAATAATAATGTTATAATACACACACGAAAAAGTTGATTTAAAGCCATGATATGGTTGTTGCCATTGGCTATAAATTTGTAGTCTGGAGTTCAGTTGCAGATCTAACTGATTAGGATATCATATGAAAGTGCTGCGTTTCTGACAGGCTAACATGTATTGTATGGTCAGTGCAATTGGGTTATTAGTAAGCCAAAACTGGAATTGTCTGCTGTGGCTCTTGGAACTGTGTCTTTCAGAGGCTCTGCTGTGCAGGCTTTTGGAGTAGAGCAAAGTGTTGTGCAGAAGCACCTGGTACACAGGCTTGATTGGGGAGAACTCAGGCACTGCACAAGGCAAATCTCTGCCTAGTGATTACCAGTCAATGTGTAGCACCAGGAGTGAAAAATAATTTAAATATACTCAAGATGGAGACCATATCATATAAAACCTCCATCAGATCTGAAACACCCCATAAACAAGGAGGAGAGCCGGAAAAAAAATTTAAATAGTATCAGCCTGTATCTGTAAGTAGCAGATACCAAGAAAAAAAACCACCAAATAAAAACACACACAAAAAAGAAGATACTTTCTTAAATGTCAGGAGGAGGGAAAAATAGATCAAATTGACCTTGTTGGTTTAGAAGTCCCAAGCAAGGACCACGCCCAGATGGGAATGGATAGCTTCAGCCCCAGGGGATCTAGATAGCCACAACTAAGGTTACTTGGCCTCAGTGGTGTGCCTTTCACAGGACAAACATGTAGAAATACAACTGTTCACACCACCTCAGAGACTGGCTAAAATTATTAGTTTTCTTATTAATTACTCCAGGTTGTTCTCCTGGACTCTACAGATGTTCATTATTATTGTTTTGTCTGACTAGAAGAAATTAAAAGGAATCAAATTACTAAGAGGTTGTGATAGGACCAGGTAGGAGCTGCTGGCTGCATTGTTGGAGGAACATGCTAAGCAATGCTGCACAGCTGGACTTGAATGCTGCGTGAAGCAAATGTGAGTCAGACTCCAGATTGTGAACGACACCAGGCCAAGGGAATGCAGACCTTATTCTTGGTTTGCTTTTTCAGATGAGTCCAGTGTTTGTTTCAGTTATGCTGGTCAGAGGAGAGTGATAAACCAGATGACTAATACAATGAAGAATGGAACAAATACCTACCCTTAGCAATTCTGGAGTTTCCTGAATTTCTAAATATTCATGCCTAGAGTACTAATCCATTGTGGTGTCTAACCCTCCCCCAGTCTCTTGTCCCATAAGCATCATGACTTGATTTGAGCAAACAACAAAAGGTCTTTGTTCCTTCTGACAGTATTACGTGTTGCCAGTGCGCTTTTGTGAGAGCACGTGTTCTCTGCTCGCCCTTGTTGGACTACTGGCACGGAGGGATAGATACTTTTTGAATCAGGACAATTCTCTACTCAGTAAACAGCTTGAATAACTGAGCC